TTACATTGCTCAGCAGTGATTGTGGCCATTGGCTCGGCCTCAACCCACTTGGTGAAGTAATCAACTGCAACTATCATGAACTTCCGACCTCCAGAACCCTGTGGAAGTGGGCCCACAAGATCTATTCCCCACCTTGAGAAGGGGATTGTCGTGCTGATGAGGACATATATAGTAGCAGGCCTACCTGGGTTTGTTTGGAACTTCTGGCAGACCTCACATTTTCGTGTGAAGTTTGCGCAGTCGCTTATCATGGTTGACCAAAAGTACCCTTGCAAGATAGCCTTTCTACTTAGAGTAAACGTGCCTTGATGTGATGAGCATATCCTTTCGTGTAACTCTTTGATCACTTGCTGAGCTTGATCCGACCTCAAACATTTTAGCAGCACTCCATTGTAACTTCTTTTGTAAAGCTTATCACCCTGGATGACATAGTTAAGGGTCTGTCTCCTGACCACTCTTGCCTTGTCTTCTTTTGAGGGCCGCGTTCTGCCCTCGATGTATTCCATCAGGTCATCAATCCAGCACCTTCAGGCTTGGCTGACTGGTACGACCTCCTGATCCTTGGTAACTTTGATGCTTGGCTTGCTCAGTTCATGCACTCGGGCTATGCGAGTGAGATGTTCAGGCGTGTCGTTTGTTAGTTTTGATAGGATGTCGGCCTCAACATTCTAATCTCGCGGGACACATAGCAGGTCGGACTCCTCAAATTCCTTTATAATTTCCAGGGCTGTGTCCCTGTATTCCTGCATTCGGGCTTCCTTAGCTTCATATTCCCCTCTAAGCTTTTTGATGACCAACTTAGAGTCGCTCTTGATTCTCAGTTTTTGGACCTTAAAGTATCTTGTTATCCTGAGGCCGGAGAGTAAGGACTCATATTCAGCTTCGTTATTGGATAGGTTGAATGAGTACCTGAGAGCGTGGTAACTTTTGAAGCCTTCGGGGGTGATGAGGACCACCCCTCCTCGGCAACCTTTGGATCCTGATGATGATCCATCAGTCATTAGGCTCCACCAATCTTCCTCTTCGCGACATCTTTCTTCAGCCACGTCCCTGGTAGTACATTCCACCAGGAAGTCCGCCAAAGCTCTCCCTTTAATTGCGGTTCTAGGCTGGAAGCTCACCTGATACTAACTGATCAGCAAGGACCATTTCACGATTCGCGCAGTCTTGGCTATTCTGAACAGAGTTCCCACCCCCAGATCCGACAATAACTTGATGGGGTGAGCTTGAAAGTAGTGGGAAAGTTTCTTTGCTGCGACATAGACCGCGAGGGTAGTCTTCTCCAGGGCTGGGTATCTCAGCTTGGCTCCGTGGAGAATCTTTCTCACATAATAAACCGGCCTCTGGGCCATCCCTTCTTCTCTCACTCCCAAATACAAAACAAGTGTCTCACCGACCTTAGGTTTGGTGAGGAGCAGATCTGACTGCAGATATCTCTTGAGATCTTCGAATGCAGCTTGGCACTTCTGGGTCCACTGAAACCCATTACTCTTTTTCAGGACTTGGAAGAATGGCAAGGATTTATCGGCTGACCTAGATAGGAACCTTCCCAGGGCTGCCAGCCTTCCTGTGAGGATCTGGACCTCTTTGACATTTCTTGGAGGCTCAATATCCAGAATTGCCTTAACCATTTCCGGGTTTGGTTCAATGCCTCTGTGTGTCACCATAAACCCCAGGAACTTTCCACCTTGGACCGCAAAAGTGCACTTCTTAGGATTGAATCTTAGATTTACCTCTTTCATGATGTCGAATACTTCCCTGAGATCATCCACGTGGTCGCCGGCTTTTTGGCTTTTCACGATCATATCGTCAACATAAGCTTCCATGTTTCTCCCTAGCACCGCTCGGAAGATCGTGGCTACCATTCGAGTGTAAGTGGTCCCAAAGTTCCTCAAGCCGAAAGCCATCACCAGGTAGCAAAAAACTCCTTCTGGGGTGATAAACGAGGTCTTTTCAGCATCATATGGGTGCATAGAGATCTCATGGTACCCCCCGAAAAGCATCCATAAAGGAAAGGAGCTCGCATCCGGCGGTTTTATCCACCAACTGATCTATGCTGGGCAAAGGGAAAAGATCCATGGGACAAGCCTTGTTCAGGTCCGTATAGTCTACACACATTCTCTAGGTAGGTGGTTTAGGAGCCAAAACTACATTGGCGAGCCATTCCGGATATTGCACCTCCCTGATATGTTTGATGCTCAACAACATATTCATTTCCCCTTTAATAAATTCCTTCCTGTCCAACGACAAGTATCTTCTCTTTTGTTTGACTGGCATTACCTTCGGATCCACGTTCAATCTATGAACTGCTATGCTTGGGTCGAGCTCGGGCATATCCTCAGGCCCCCAAAATGAAAACCGCCTTGAATTCTGTCAAAACATGGACTATCATTGCTTTCAGGTCGGCCAGGAGCCCTGCACCAATCTTGACCTGGCGCTCTGGCCGAGAGGGATCGACTTCGACCTCCTCGAGCTTTGAGACGGGCTGAGCTCTGAGCTGCCCTTCCTCATATCTGGATAAGTCATGTTCTATAGCGTGGATTCTTACACCATTTCCTCCGTGAGCCTTGCAGGCCCTTACGTAACAGATTCTAGCCATCTTCTAGTCTCCTCAACTGTTGCTATTCTCACCGGTGTATAGAACTTTATGCACAGATAAGCCTGGGAAATAATGGCTCACAGATAGAACTTTATTCACGAAACCATCCATGTATAGTATGTTGACTGAGATTCCGTTGTCCACGAGAACTCTGTGGACAATCGCATCCATAACCTCCATCTTTATCACCAGAGCATCTCTGTGGGGTGGGGGACATGGAGGGAGATCATCATCCCTGAAGGTGATGGGTGAAGGTAATGGGTTCCCGCTTCTGCATTTTGTCAGCATGAACATGGTTGATTTCCCTGATGAACAATTCCACTTCTTTCTTTCCCCCACGGTGTCCCCTCCGATAGGTACGCCGTAGATTTGGTGGACGTGCGGGCGCTTTTGCCGGTCTGAATCCTCTTCTTTATCATCATCCTCGAATTGGGCTCCGACCTCCCTCTTTTTAGAGATTGAGGCCAACTCATCCAAAGTCACCGAGAACCCTCTACATTTGATGGCATCATCATACCCCATCATAACCATGTAAGCTACATACTTGGAGACATGATGTTGGGGGTCGGTTTTCCCTCAATAGGCCTTAATGTTGCATGGTATGTACCCTTGTGGTAATGGTGCGTCCATGATCTAGCGCGTGAAAGGCTCGGGAACCCTCATATCATGATTGAGATCGGTTCTACCATCCATCCCCTTTCTGAGCTCGTCCAGTCTCCTCCTGAGGTCATTGTTGTTGTGACCTGTCTGAATACGCAATGGGGATGGGCGACCTCTTCGGGCCTCCCTACGCGCGCAAATCGGTGGGACGAAACGGCGGCCAAAGAAGCTTCCTCGCTGGGTTCGAACCTATAGCAGAGCCTCTCGTGCACAGAAACTCGTTCACCTATTCGATTCAGCACATGAAGACGATTCCCCATGTCACCTTGGGTCGTTGTGTTATCATTGCTTCTTCGGAAATCGCTCCATCGAGACCTCGAACCATCATCCTCAATCACGACCTGGTTGAAACGATCGCCGCCTTGATTGCTACCCATACGATTGTGACTATTGGATCCAACCATCGTCTTCGCAGATTCGGCTCTCAACGAGAGCACCAAATGATGGAGTTTAATCTAACTACGAGGCCTAAATATACTAAAGATATCAAAATATGGCAGCATAAGGTAGTATTATTGTTGTTCGGAAGAACGATTCACTGATCCCCTTACAGGGTATTTACAGGAAATATTTATAGACTTCAGGAGTTAGTATTCTAGAAGGAAACTACTACATTAAATGCTATTAATTATAGATTAGTTCGAATAGAACTCCTGTAGCGCCGTGTCCATTGTGCAATGATTATCTCCTTCAAGTCCATGTTTCCTGTTGAGTCCTGCCTGCTGCCAAATAGCTATGCTCAAATGATAGCCCACCACGTAAACCATAGGAATATCCCAACCTCACTATAACTCCGCTCAGGCTCGAGACCTGCTATCCAGCCCGGCCTGGCTGTGGGCTCCTATCGTGGGTCGGATCCCTTATCGGGCCTAGCGGCTTACTCAATATGAATCCCGTTCAGGGCTTGATCCCGTTTATGGACTAATCCTGTTAATTAGGCTAATCCCGTTAAGGGCTGATCTCGTCCTGGACTACGTAATTGGGCCATGGTCAGAGTCCATGGTACCATCAATACTAAACTAGCACAGCACCCATGCATACGCACAGGAAAAAATAGTAGGTCCTTATATATTTTTGTTCATGATCTAATCAAATATAAAAATGATTTTTTTTACAATTCTATGCCATTTAAAAAATAGAGTACAATAAGTTAATACTCACTCCGGTTCTAAAAGATCTTGACACTTTGACTTCACAATTTTTAAAGAAATGAACACTATTTGACACTGTTTTGTGTAGATTTATTTGCCAAATAAGGAAAATAAGGAAGTGTAAAGATCTTTCTGGTACTGCTAAAAATTGAAGGTGTAAAGATATTTCAGAACCGGAGGGAGTATCAAAAAGTATAGTGGGCAACACTATCCTTTAGAATTTGATACATAATAATTAGCATTGTGGGCAACAAATAATAAAATATTGAACTTAATTGTTAGAGTTTTGAAACACTACTTCAAAGAGAACTTTTAGTGACAACATCTAATGCTTTTCTCTTCTTATAATGTATTAAAATCATCAATCCATATTTTCTCCCTCGATAACGCCTTACATATAAAGCTTTACATGAAAAGGTCAAACAACTTAGCACCGGTTTGACGTTCTGGCTTACCACTGTTTATGGAAAACACTCCAAATCCGCTAGACAGCCGCTATGAGCAGAGATGCGGCGTTAGAAAAACGTACAAGAGCCATGGTTTATTAGAGGCAACCTCAACGCCATCACCTCAGTCAATGAACACAAAGGTAACTCCCTACCCAAAATCCAGGAAATTTACAATTTTACTGCATTCATTGAAAACTGTGACCTTGACGCTTGGAATTTACGGGCAGTAAATTCACATGGTCAGAAATAAGATGAAAACGGTAGGGTATGGAGAAGGTTGGATAGATTCTCTTGCAATGATCTGTTTAGCAATCAGTTCCAGGACATTATTGAAAATCATTGTACTAGAACCAGCTCAGACCACTGCCCAGTGCCCACTAATCCTATCCTGCAGACCACCCGACCCCACTGTACCTAAGAGCTTCAGATTCCAACGTATGTGGACATCTCACCACTCATTCATACAAACAGTCAAAGACGGCTGGGAACAGCTGGGAATCCACCGACACTTAAGGTATTGGCGGTATGAGACCACTCTACCAAAAACTACTAGCAACAAAAAAGGCCCTACGAATATGGAATAAAACAGTTTTTGGAAATATCTTCTCTGAGGTTCAAAAAGAAGAAATCAAAGCCCAAGAGGCCCAAAATGAATTTGCCACAAATCCCAACCCAGAAACCCGCGAACATTGGTCCAACACACATGCCACCTACTTCTCAAACTGAAACAGGAGGATTTCTGGAAGCAACTAGCCCGCATTAAATCGCTCAAGGAGGGGGAGGCCAATACCCAATTCTTTCACAACTATGGGGGTGTTTGGAAGTGATTCTGATTCTGCTTCTTTTTTAAAATAGAAGCAGAATCAGAATCAGTTTTCAGAACATGGTCACCCACAGCTTCTAAAAAAATTGATTCTAGCAGTAAATTAGAGCATCAGGAACACTTCTGCATTTTTACCCAAACACTCCAACTTCTGTTTCTGCTCCCTGAAGGAGCAGAAGCAGTTTTAAGAATCAAATCCAAACACCCCCTATGTCAACGCAAGAAGAAGACACCAAAAAATCCTCACAATCGAGGATGACTCGGGAAAAACTTGCACTGACAAGGACTCAACTGCAACTGCAATGACCAATAATTTCGAACAGCTCTACACAGAGGTATGCGTGGACTTGGGCCGGGTCGGGCCCAGGCCGGGCCTAGGCCCGGTCGGGCCGCCGGTTTGTATGACATGGGCCCGGGACCGGCCCGAGGGTTGGACGGGTCCGGTTCGGGCCGGGCCACCCGCCCGGGTCACGGGTCGGGTCCGGTTCGGGCCAGGCCGGTTAATTTTTTTTTTTTATAATTTATATTTTACAGTTTATAGTTTTATACGAGTATTAAAAACAAACTTCAAGTGCATTTATTTGAAATGAAATAGGAACTACATTTGAAAATTAAAACAAACTTTAAGAGAAACATTTTGAAAATTGTAATCAATCGGAACTTCCCGCACCTCCCGATTCTTTGGCTTTGTCACATGACTTCATATGCTTGATTGCCATCTCGTATCCGCCTGAAACCCCCATGCTCGTTTTTTCTCGCACCATTTACAAATTGCGTACCACATCCCGATCTTCGGGTCCTTAATCTTATCAAAATTATACCGTATAATGGCATCTTGATTTTCCATCTTAACTTCTTAAGTATAAAGTATAAACTATAAAGTAGATATATAAATAATAAATATAATATATTGGAGAATAAGAGAATTAGAGAGTATAGAGTTAAGAATAGGATTTAGGAAGAATTGGAGAAGAGATATGAAAAAATGTTTAAGATTAGGAGTATTTATAGGTTTTTTTACCCCCCACCCCCACCACCACCCCCCCCCCCACCACCCAACCCCCCCAGACCCCCCTGCACCCCACCCAACGGCTATATAGCCGTTTGGGTTGTCCCCAGCCCACCCCCAACGGCTAGTAGCCCAATTCAAAAAAAAAATTAAAAATCAGACCGCCCAGACCCGAGCCCGGGCCCGACCCGGCCGGGCTGGGTCACATTTATCCGGCACCGTGCCCGCCCCGCCCATTCCCACCGGTTCGGGTCCACACCCGGTCCCGGACCGCCCGACCGGGCCGGTCCCGGGCCCGCACAGTATCGGGCCGGGCCGGGCCGGGTCACGGGCCGGGTGGCCCGAACCGAATCCACCCCTACACAGAGGAACCCATTGACCAAAGAGACAAAGAATTCTTCCTATACCTCCTACCAGAGGTCTTGGAAGACACAGACCGGGCTACACTATCTATCCTACCCCAGCAAGATGAAATCAAAACAGCTACATGGTCCCTGGACTCAATCAGTTGCCCAGGACCAGATGGCTTCAGCGGACTGTTTTATAGATATGTTGGGATATCGTTTGCAAAGCCGTTACATCGGGTGTCCAAGAATTCTTTTTGGGTATATAGATGCCTAACACCCTTACGAGTTCCCTACTGGTACTAATACCCAAAACCGAATCCCCTCTAAAACTAAATCAGTTCAGACCTATAAGCCCAGCCAACTTCATAAACAAGTTCTGTACCAAAATTATTGCCAACAGACTCAGGCCTCTTCTACCTAAATTTATCTCCAAAGAGCAAATTGGATTCATGACAGGAAAAAACATTCATCACCATGTACTAATGGCTAAGGAACTCCTCCACCACCTCGACATCAAGGTGAGGGGTGGCAACATAGCTGTTAAGATCGACATCTCTCAGGCCTTTGATCGTGTCTCCTGGGAGTTAGTGGAAGGTGCACTACTGAAAATTGGGGTCGGTCAAGCAACTACAAGCCTAATTATGGGTAACCTCAGAGCAACCCACATTTCGGTGCTCGTCAATGGCGAGCCAAACGGGCCTACTTTAAACCTGCTCGAGGAGTAAAACAAGGGGATCCACTGCCCCCTACCTATTCCTCATCATAAGCGAAGCTTTAACAAAGGGTTACACAAACAAATACATAGCAGGAAAATACAGGCTTATCAAATAGGGAGGGGGGTCACAACAACACATCATCTAGCTTATGCTGATGACGTTATCTTCTTCATGAATGGTTCAGCGTGATCCCTGGGAGGCATGCTGAAACTCCTCTCCAAATACTCCAAAGCCACGGGTCAAACGGTAAACCTGAGCAAGAGCAGGATCATTGTCAGCAAATTACTCCAACCACATCAGAAAAAAGCCATTGAAAACATCACAAATATGACAACTACGACTCTATCTGTCACGTACCTAGGAGCAACACTCCACCAGGGCACAACAAGACCTCACCACTGCCTCCACATCATCCAACGATTTGAAGCAAACCTCAGCACATGAAAAAAAAAATTAAATCAAAGTGGCAGACTCATCCTCATTAAACATGTTCTTTCAGCCATTCCTTTACATCACTTAGCGGTATCAAACATCCCCGAATCAATCATCAACATTCTTCACAGAATTATGGCAAATTTTTTCTAGGGGACCAGGGGGAGAAGAGAAGGTACCACTGGAAAAGTTAGGACAAGATTTGCAGACCAGGAATTGAGGAGGGACTTAATATCAGATCAATCACAGACATTCAGAATGCCCTACACCTCAAAAATTGGTGGAACTACAACAAAAACAAGTCTATCTGGGCCAAATACATGCATTTTAGATACAATGACACCATCCAATTCAAAGAGAAAGACTCAGTAATTTGGAAGAAACTTTGCAGAACAAACCAACAAGGGCTACAATTAACAGAGCGACAATCTGAGCAAATCATTTGGACTCCCTCCCCGGATGGCCAATTTACACTGTCCAGTGCGTACAACAGCATCACGACCACACACCCAACAACAAACATGGCAAAATAGATTTGGAACTCAAAACTACAACTAAAATTGAAAATCTTTTTGTGGAAATATACAATACACGGTCCCTCCTCTTCCCCCCTAACCTCACCCGATTCAACCTAAACCAGCCGCCACCTCAGCTAAAAGATTTTGACCCTGTGATCACGAACGGTAAAGGGATCAAAACGGCTTGGAGATGGTGTCAGAACAAGTATTGTCAAGACGAGCGACATTCGGTAACATGGATTGTCGTCCGAGAAGTGAGATGGTGTAGAACAGAATTTAAACTATGAGAAACTATAAGGAAAAATTGAGATACCTTCAAAGCTGCCAAAGCCAGGCATTTTTCAGTTTGCTCGACCGGCATCTTAGGAACGACAAAATTGTTGAACCACGAAGAAATGGACTAAATCTGGCTTGCAGGAGAACCAGCCTTCTCCAACATTTCATGAACTGGATCTGCCACAGAGATCCGTTCGACCTGTGTAGAAAGGTGGACGGTGTTGGTCTCACCTGCAGTAATGTTGGCATCCTGAGCAACCTGGAAGTGCTCAGAGAATTGATGTAGCTGATCGGACCCAAACCGATCATCGATCAGCATTTCTTCATAATGGTTTTGATGAGGGACCTACTGGATGGGTTCCGGCTCCTGAACGGGTTGAGAAGACCCGAGATCTTGAGCAGTGGTGGTGGAAGGATTGTGGGTTTGGGATTCTTTCTTGCTTTCTTCCTCTTCCCGACCCCACCGGCTACTAGAACACGGTTGTTGCCCATTGGAGCGTCTGGATTAGGAGCTGAAAAATTACAAAAGTATTAGTACCGAGCGGCCTTACCACGTGGGAAACAAAAATGGAAAGGGAACGTTTCTCGCACGGGAAGGACCGCCCAACCCACAATACTTGGTTCTTAAAAAAGTAGACCCAAGAGAGCGGGAAGTACCTATCCCGGCCTTGATTAGTTGGTCGGGGGTCAGATATCCCATGATATCACAACATTTCTCCTTCTCTATAGCGAAGACATCCTTGCAGATTGGTTCAGAAAGGAGCGGATCGAGAGTCTTTCGGGGAAAGGCATTCCACTTGTTCGGGATCAGGCCGTCCGGGACAGAGACGAAAAAGAACCGATCCTTCCACCCCTTGATCGAAGTAGGGTTACCCTTAAATAGGATATGACCCGATCGGGCAGTTGCCGCCAGATAACCATGTATCTGCTGGGGAGTCACCTTGAAGAATTGATGGAACAGTTCTAGTGGGGGTAACGTCTGCGTCTTTACAACGGCAAATGAAGCCCGCTATTACCCGATAGGAGTTCGGCATAACTTGGGTCGGTACAATCTCGTAGAAGTTTAGGAAAGAAACGAAGAAGGGGTGTAATGGAAATCTAAGCTCGGCTTTCACCGAGTCGAAATGGACTACCACCATCTCAGGAAGGTGGCGCATTGGGTGAAGCCCAGCCCGAAGACGAAAATCCACCGGGTCCGGAATTAGGGCTGGGATTTGGGCCCTATTATGGGAGGTCAATTTTTGCCTCCTTTCCCTAATTAGCCTCAGGTCCACTTTATGACGAGGAATGTCGCCCGGGAGGCCGGCCGCCATTGAGATAAGTTCATCACCGGACTTCGTGTCATCGGAATCCTCATCAGTAGAAGAGCTCGCGGAAGATTCCTCCACCTCCGCCCTAGTCTCCGCCGTCGCTTCGTTTGAGACACTGGCAAACGGGACGTTTATGACATCCACGACGGCGGCGTCATGGTCATCCCCTTGGGAAGCCATTTCCGAAGTAGAAGGATGCGATTGAGGTCTCATGTCGACCAGACTGAAGAAAAAGAAGGTTAATTCGAAGGGATGAAGAATACCTGAACACGAAAGATTTGGGGAAGGGTTGGAGAGAAGACAGAGCTGAAATACGAAAGATTGGAATTCAAAACCCCTAACCAAGGATTTCAAGGCCCATTTATAACCTGACAGGCGCCGAATCAGAAACCAATCAGAAGGTGACACGTCACCTAGATCATTTGAAGGGACACGTGTCGCATGGGGAGGCGAAGGCCAGTAATCATGACGATTATGGAAAAAATCAAACGACAGCCGCATAAAGGGTACTAATCGTGGCATGGGGAATCAGCAAACTCTGGATCCCGATCGCCATTCGGCAGGTAACTTCTACTTCCCAATGCACTCACTATCGTTCCAGACATCGGAAGTGGGGGACTCGTGTTGGGATATTGGGCCACAGGCCCAATACCCGGATCTAAGGCCCAAAATATCCATTTCGTTAGGCGGGCCCATCATCCAGAAAATGAACCAGCTCTTGGGAAAATATGTACCGAACGAGGTTCGGATCGATTAACATACTTGGGCCAAATCATTAATGGGCCAAATCATTAATGGGCCAGATCAATGATGACTCCATATCAGATGTACCGAACGGGGATCGAACTAATCGACGAACTTGGGCTAGACCAATGATGATTCCAATAGGATTCACTGCCCGTTCGGGCAGCGGGTAGCCAACAAGTGGTAGGGGGCATTTATTGCTAAAGTATGACGGTAGCTAGTGGGAGCATGGGTTCCAAGTGGCTAGATAAAGCAACCAATCAACATGAAGTACCCCATACCCCCATTAGTATAAATAGAAGGATTGGTTTCATTGTAAAGGGTTAGCATTTTGATACTCAAGCCTAGAATAACATTATCTCTCTGATTTCTTGTATTAGTTACTATCCCGACATACCGTTCGGGTAGTTTACAGTGTAACAGTCAAATTACTTAATACAAGTGGGCTTTGAGTGTTCGTTGATATCATCTTTTATATTTCTTTTATACACGGGATTATCGCCCCATGTCCTGATATATCCAATGTTTGTGTTGGGCTTTCGGATCTACAGGATTAAACCTCAACAGTTTGTGTTGGGCTTTCAGAAAGTCTCATCTCAGCTTGTTAACACGTAGAATCATTCCGGATGACCAAATGACGAACGGGTTAACAGTTTGGAGGAAGCCGCCATTTTAGCTGAGGTGATTCCCTCCAAGCCGTTTTGGTCCCTCTATTCGTTTGTGATCACATGGTCAAAAGTTGTTAGCTAAAATGGCGGCTCTCTCCAAACTGTTAACTCGTTCGTCATTCGGTCATCCAGAATGATTCTACGTGTTAACAAGCTGAGATGAGACTTTCAGAAAGCAGTGATTGTGATGCAAGTGACTAAATTGATGTAATATGATGTAAGATCATGATGAGGCAGTCCGTAACGATGTCCCAAAATAGATTATTGATATTACAATTCTAGGCATAACGAGTGCTTAGAAATTGGGGTCTATGCCTGTGACACCCTAAAATTTTAAAATAGAAACATAAAGTGAAAATAAAATAAAAAATAAAACAAATATAAAATATCTGATGAAAATAAACCAGATATAATTTATCTGATAAAGATACACCGGGCATAATTGTCTAGATTAAATGGTGAAAATAAAACAAAGTAGAAATGATACATCTTAACTACATAATATGTATACTTATACTACATATGTAAATATTATTTACTCATACGAAATAATACGTACAACTAAACTTGCAAACAACATACATGCCATATATACATACATCATATATACATGAGGTATGTATATAGACGGAGTAATAAACACATGCACAAACACCAGGGACATATACCTATACAACATATACATAATACATACATATATGATATACCATCCCATCCATCATACTCATATGGCGTGTACATACATACATAGCACCGCCATACACTCCATACATGCATAACATGCGAGTATAACGTATAGTATAAACCAACGGACAAGGGAATTAATAAGATGATTATGATATCAATTAAGAGTATAAACTGATCCTGAAACGGACCAACCATTTATATTATGGATACCATACATACATGTCATACATATATTATGATATAATAATACATCTGTATGTTTAGGCAATTTATCTGAATTTTTTCTAACAATCAAATGGTATGAATCGGGAATCGCACAAGATGAATTACCACTAGTAGAAATATAGTATGTATTAATTTATGATTGTTGATATGAATACAATAATGAAAATAAGCTATTTTTTCAGAACTGATCTCTCTTTTTCCTTCTTCCCTAAGCTATTTATATTTTTTACAACTCTATCTCCTAATGTGGGCTCCGGATCTTTTGGCGAAACTTCATCCGTCCTACTAATGTGGAATCTGTTCCTTGACTTCCTCCACGAACTCTAAGCATCCTTATCCGTTCCGTCACATTACTTAATTGAGCTGGACTCTTTAAAATGGACTGGCCGTTCTTTGATGTTTAACAAAACCCCTACAGCAATGTGGTCCGGTCCGCTTGACAAATCCAGGCCCAACAATTGCCCCCAAAATTCGAAGTAGTAATCGTCGCTATTTTGATTCAACAGGTCGGTTACTTCTTTGAATTTTAAACGTCCTGATGCCACCTCGAAATTTGTAAAGTCGTCAGCCTTCTTTCCTATCGAGCAGCCAACCTTCTGTCAGACTAATCCCTTCTCCGTCATAATCTCTCTTCTGAGAAGAAAAATCAACTCTCGTCTACCTCTTACAGAAGCTCTTTGTGAGAAACCATGGAATCCTAGCGGTTCATCCCTCAACATATCCTGGACCCAAAGAATGCAAAGCAAGCCAAACTCTCTGAAAGTCATATCGATATTATCAAGAACGGTTCCGGATTTCCAGCGCATGCATCCATCTTGTTCCCGGCCGCTAACGAGCGGGTTGACTGACATTGCGATGGATGGGTCAATTTCTTCATGTATCCCTTCAAAATCGGTATGAAGTTTCCTTTTTCTTCTCTAGCTAGAGACTTCTTGGCCTTTGTCAAAGTTTCCCCTTCCCAAATAATGCCACAAGTATGGAGGGTTCTTCGTGGACTGGAAGTATTGAGTGAAAAACACAGCATCCCTTTCACCTTCGAAGATCTGGGCTTCACTTACGATCTTCGCTCTTCTGGAGCTGGACGGTTCACATTAGCTGTTAAAGATGCTCGCGAAGCACTTATATTGAGAGCGGACAAGGCCAATGATCGCGGCTGGATGAGTCTGTTCTTCTTTGTACAGAAAGATTCCCTAGGTTATGATGGGGCGTTTCTTGAAGAGAGTCTGCATAAAGGTATCTTGATACTTCCTTGCTTTGTGTATGAATTTCAAATGTATTTAGTTGCCACATGACTGGGCCGTAATATGTCGAGATGCATTACTGTTTCCATCGTCTGTTCTTGTAGATAGGAAGACAATCCCATTGAGCTATGGTCTGAATTCTGAAGAAAGGACTGCTAGAATTTTATCCATAACCACCATTGAGCGGACCTTTGGGAATCTAGTGGCTGATAATGAAGGTACGTCTCCCATCCCTGACCCTTCTGGGTCCGTTGGATTAAGGTGTTCTCGCCGTAATATTCAGAATGTCCCTAACGATGCTCAAGGCTCGTGTGCGGTCTCCGTAGACGATTCAGACCATGAATCAGAAGGTTCAAGAGGTGGTGGTGAAAATGCAAGTGCCTTTGTTCCTCTCCAAATGGTGTTCCCTGTTGTTCAGGACTCTTGCCCTCTCCAGACGAAACGTTCTGCTCAACATGTTGGTACTCGTTTCTGTTACCTCAATTGTATGTCAAATACTGCTTTGCCTATAATGTTAAAATATTTGTATCTTTATTATTATTATTATTATTATTTTTAGCTGCTTCTTCATCCAGCACGCGGCTGATGCCTTCTTATTATGACCTCCTTAACATGGTTTTGAGAAAGAAAAAAGTTCCTTCCAAGCTGGCTTCTGGTTCTCCCAAAACTCCACATTGCCCGACTGTTGAAATGAAAGTTGTTCCTCCTCTTCCAGTGAACGCTGCTGCCAATTCTGACTCTGGTGTGAAGATGAATGCCTCCTTTTCTCGTGACTTCTGCTGTTTGAAGGATGCTTTTATGATGAGAAGTGAAATGCCTCAGGTTCTGCTTCCCTGCTCGTCTGCTGCGTTTGCTGATATTTCTTCAGCTGGTCTAGCGTTGGCTTCGTCGGCCTATGCTTTCCAGGTACCTTATCGCTTTGTAAATGTTTAGTATTTGTCTAAAAATTTAAGCTTCCTTCTGGCGAGAATTTTCCAAACTAGCAGAGTGTTCAAGCTAGCCTTGTTGCTGCAGAAAGATTGGTTTTACTGGAAAAGGGTGTGGATGAATTAAAAGATTGGTGGTTTATCCAAGCCAAGTCCATGTCGTTTTGTGACTCCGTTGCTATTTTTTTTTGCTATTATCTGAATCCTGTTTTTGCTAATGTGTGTTCTGTCGTGTATGTGTGTTTGTCGCTTATGTGTGCAACATGCCATGTGTGTGTAGAGTCATATATATGTTTGTGTTTTGGCCAAAATGTATTCGGTTTTATGGAACTTCATTCATGGTTTTTTCATAATGAGCTTCATGTCCCCTGAACACTGACGTTTCATCATGAGCAAGTTCGGATGTTTTACCTGTTGTTCTGGCATTTGCGTCATCTTGTGTTTAGATCTTAACCCGTCATAGTCCTGCGATAGTACTGCACCGTTGGGGTCGGCCGTTGGCTTGAGGCCAACGGCCCTCCGACGATCAAGTTAGTAAACGATGAATTGTATTTACTATATCCAAAATGACGTGAAACGTAACTAATTACCTGTGACTTTGCCAATTTTGTGTGTCTTCCTGTATTAAAATCATTGTTAGGGTCGGTCGTTGGCCTTAAGCCAACGGCCCTCCGACGGTCAAGTTAGTAACTTCGTTTTGCAACAAGAACAGATGTGCAAAAAATGAATTAAAACTTTTCTCGTTGGTCCCGTTTGTAATAGGAACAGTCTAGAGGGGGGGGTGAATAGACTGTTCAGGAATTTAAACTTTTCTCCAAGTCAAGTCTGACTTAACAGAGATGGTCGAAATCTGGTGACAGAGATGGTCAAGTTCTGATGGCAGAACTAGACCAGGCAGCGGATAAGTTTCTGTCCGGGTAGCCTCTAGAAGAAAACTAAGGCAAACTGCCTTTCTGATAACTCTGAAGGAAGATCTGCTGGACACAGAGTCCAACCTTAAGAGTTAGTCAGTAGAATCTTAAGTGCAGTAATTAAAAGCTTAAAGTAAATGACACCGGGGTTTTTATAGTGGTTCAAGGAACAACTCGTTCCTCTAGTCCACTGTTCCACTAAGCTTGCAAAAACAACAGTTTACAACGCCTTAGTCCCTAGAGCTTAAGAAGCACTCCTCGTCTTCTTCAAGTCTAGTTGCCACCCGGGATGCAGTCCTGCTTCCTGATGGCTGATCTCGTTTCACTGAGTCTCTTGAAGTATCTCCACTTCACTCACTCCAGCTAATTTGAGACGTCCCTTCTTTTTCAAGAAGTGTTTGATATAGAATCAGTTTTCTCCAACGTTGCTTCTTCACAAAAGATGAGTATATGAAGCTCTCGAAGTGTTGAAGAACTGAGTAACTTTGCCTTTTCTAGCTGGATGAAGGATAGGAATGTTTATTTTCCAACTGTGGCCTTTTCTTGTTAGAATGGAGTTTTAATCTCAAGAAAGTTGTTCACGCAAATTTATCTTGGCAAAGGTTATGGCAAAGTTATCTCTTTAGTTCTTCAGAGTGTATCTTAATATACTGGGAGCAGTCTTCCCGTTGGAGTGTAGAAGACAGCTTCATTAAGTGCATGTACTGTTGACTTGACCGTTTGGTCCTCCGACTTGCTATTTTGGGGGCGTAAAGATATTCGCATGGTCAATCATCAGCTTTAAATATCTCTTCGTACGTACAGCATTAAATGTGCATTTAATGCGTGTACAGTGCCATGCTTCCGTTGAAAGGTTCGTAACCGTTAGGGAATTTCCCGTTAGTTTAACGACCGTTGGAAGGGCTTCCGGATTCTGATGATACTTAGCAGAGTCTGAAGAGGTTCTCTGGTCCAATCTCTGAAGTCCGTCTCTGTTGCCAACTCTGGTATCTTTCTGATAACCAGTTTCTGATGGCTTCTCTGGTGAGCAACTCTGGGAGCAACTCTGGTAGAGGCAAGATGGAACTCTGGCAGGCAGACTAAGCTAAAACTTACAAAAGAAATTCTAATACACAATTTCTAATGGGGTACTTTCAAATTCTAATTAACCTAGCATCATCAAAATCCAAATACATTTATTCCTTACAATTTCCCCCTTTTTGATGATGCCAAAACCCTTTAACTATTTCCAGAGAAGTGCCTTTCACCATAAAAGAATAAAGTTAAAAACTTTTCATTAAAATCTTGGTGGGCCACTTAGCATAGGAGAATAGTAAGAGTGCGATACAATCAGATAGCAATAATCAAGTACGAAAGCAGAATATACACAAGAAAGTAAATAAGAACAGATATTTGAATGAGAGCCAAGAAAAAAGAGAGGCAGAGATGGTATCTTATTAAGCTGTTATAGAAAGTAAAGCATTACAGAGTTAGATAAAGAATTTAGAGATCTTCTTCATCTACCTGTGGTCCTGCTCTGTCAATCCTTTCAAGTTCAGCATTTACCTTCGCTCTGATTGAGGCTAAATCCCTTGGATTCTGATAGTCAGCCCAATGAGGTGCAAGTTTGCAATCCAAATAGTTTCTGACAGCTTCTGCAGAATTCTTGCCATTCAGAATCTTCATTCCGTACCACATCTCAGCTTCTTCGATCGAACCACCATGGTTGATCTGGACAAGTCCATCACTGTCCATGAACAGATTCTCTCTTTGAAGAGGAGTCATCAATTTTCTCATCTGTTCAAACTGAACTCTGTCTGGCCTTGACAGACCACTCTTCATCCAATCAGTGAATGAAAAGGATGAAGGCTTTTTCTTTGAACTTCTGGGAGGAGGAGGAGGTCTGGTGCCTGTAGCAGCTAGCCTTTTCTTTCTGGTAGCATCAAAGTAAGGAGTAGGATCAACAGAGGAGGGTTCTCTGATAGAAAGAGCTCTGGTGCTGGGTCCTTCTCCTTCTCTGGTATCTTCCCCCTTTTTGGCATCACAAAGATCACCAAGGAGAAGTTCAATCTTGGAGAACTCAGAGGCTTGAGCATCTCTGATTTCATCAAGGGTTTCTGGCAGAGTTTGAGTGACAGAGGCAAGTCCTTCAATCAGGCTTTGTTGCTTGTCTACTGCAGATTGGAGATCCCTGGTGCTGACCTCTAGAAGCACCATCTTCTGGTACCTTTCTCTGTCAGATTTGAGAAGAGCTAGGCCTTGCTCTTGATGTTCCTTGCATAGAGAGTGTAAGATGTTGAGTTTCTGGGAGGAACTATCAGCAGATATCTGAAGATTGTGAACAGATTCTGAGATTCTGTTGATTGTCTGGTTCTGGGCAAGCAGAGCTTGAGAGTGAGAGTGGAGAACAGAGTTGAGTCCACTAACATCTCTTGAGACAGAATCAATCCTCGAGGTAGACGAAAGCATGAAGTTGTGCAGATTCTCTGTTAGAGCACCAACTTTATCTGACAGATGTTGAAATCCTATAGTGATTTGCAGATTGGTATGGGTGAGTTCTTCATGTTGTTTGTCATTTAATTCAATGATCTTGCTCAGATCTTGAACCAGTATACCACCAAAAGCTTCAGCAGATTTCACAAACTGGGTGAAGGGGATTTGGGGTTCTTCAGGTGTAAGTCCAGGCGTTTCCAGTCCTCTGCCTTTAGGGAATGGAGGAACTCTGTTGGATGGAGGAGGGGAAGGAACTCTGGGGGTGTCCTTCTCCTTTTGGAGGTTTCATCAGCAGCAATGGAGGAGGTGAGGAATCCATCATTGTCACTAGATGAGGAGGGAACCCTGAAGATAGGTTTCTTCTTTGGTGTCGATGCTGCAGAGTGATGTGAGGATCTCTGAGGTAAGGCAGATTTGGATGTTGGTAAGGGGTTCTGGTGCTGAGGTGAAGATTGAATAGGTGAGGTATTCTGTTGAGGAGGGGATGGTGGAGGTGAGGGTGAACGGTTTCTGAAAGGAACAATTGCTCTGCAGGGAGATGCAATTTTTTGTTTGGGCGAAGAGGGTCTGGATTTGGGTTTCTGGTGAGATGGTGTTCTGGTAGAAGGTGAGGTTTTCTGTTCTGGTGAAGGGGTTTTTTGGTGAGGTGAAGCGGTTTTCTGGTGAGGTGAAGGGGTATTCTGGTGAGGTGAAGATAGAGGTTGAGAGGGCGATTTGGAGGGTGAGGGTAGAGTAATAGGAGATTGGGGAGGGGAAGGAGGAGGTGTAGGAATTACCTCAAGAACTATTTCGGAGTACACAGATTCTCTCCACTCCTTGATCAGATTCTCCATGGTAATAGCAATGTCATTCGCAGTGGATGGCTCTCCTTCCTCAAGAGCACTGTGGCGAAATTTGATCATTGATTCTTTTCTCTTCTTCTCCATCAGCCAAGCATCAAATGTTTCCATTTCTTCTTCTTCCAAGGCTCTGACATGCCTTTCTGGAGATAGGTCAGATGTTGGAGCTTTACCTTGATATCTGTCTTTCTTCTTTTGTAGCACAGAAATCAGAAAGGTAAGGTTGAAGCATTTTGACACATCATCTGTGCCTACCCAGTGAAGAACAGCAGCTTCTTCTTCTTCATAGGCATCAAAGAATTGGATGATTTGTTGAAGAGGACTCATTCTCCATCTTCTCCAGGCTAGGACTCTGTCAAACTGCTTCTGCAGAATGATGTTGAAGTCTGTTTCTTGGTCCATTTCTGGTGAGGCTTCACGCTCTGGTGAGAGAGCAGAGTTGGGCAATTCTGGTGCAGAATCTGGGTGAGTTTCTGGTAGAGTGCCAGATTCTGGTGCAAGTTCCCCCTGAACTGCTGAATCCTTGGCAGGTGAGACTATTTTAGTCTTCCTCTTCTTCTGCCTTGGTTGTGTGGTTGAGTTGTCAGAATCACCACTTTGCACAACCATCTTTCTTCTCCTCTTCTGCTTCAGTTTTCTGGCAACATATTTTCTGGTTGCCTTTGGGGAGGGCAACTCTGGTGCAACCTCTTCTGCTGTTCCCTTCTCTGGTAGTGACAGATTGTCACTTTTCTTCTTCTGTCTAACTTCCCTTACAACC